TTGAACTGCTAGGTTAGCAGAAGCTGGGTCAAGTAACTATCATGTGGCCGGCATAACTAAATGCCAAAGACACACGGAACACTGTTACCTTCCCATCAAAGGTGGTCTCTATTTTTCTACTTGAATTTTTACGTGCTTTCGAACTGCTAGGCTGGCAGAAGCTGGGACAAGTAACAGGAGCTCACTCCGTTACGCGGCGCTAGGGATTCGAACCGCTAAACTGCCGACCTTTCTGATCGACAAGCTCAGCTTCTTAGCCACTGAACCACCACGTCTCTCAAAAAGAAATGTAAGATGCAGTAATTATAAAACAAGACAAGAAGAAAAATTTGGTGTAGAAAATCAGAATAAAACATCTCAGCTAACATATTCCTTACTTCGATTTCTGCCGACTCCACCCGATTTTCAATTATCTCAATACATGGTCTTTTCATTGGGGGCTCTTCACTGATTACTGTTTCCTCTGCAATGTCTGTGGCTGGTACTGTAAGTACTGGAATGGAAATAAGTTTGGATCAAAAACTATATTAGTTAACAATGGTTGCATTTGGATGCTGGGATAGAAGGGGATAGGTAATTAAATATTGTTATTGAATATATGAGTTGAGAGCTTGTCATCTAGCCTAACTCTCTCTTGCTAAAGACAACTACAAGCATTCTTTGTCATTTTAAGTGTTGCCTTAACAACACACCTGCATTGTATTAAGTTAGTTCATTAAAGCAGCCGCATCTTTTTTTACCGGCTCCAGGTGGGGGATCTGGGGCCCGTCACTCTCTCTCAGAAGGAGAAAGGAGCATTAGATATACTCTCCATTTGGAGTTATTTTTTAAAAATAATAATAAAGGTAGAACAAAACCGTTAAAAGACCTGGCTGCTTTAATGAACAACAGAGAGGGGATATGATTCAGGAAACCCTAAGCAACTCTTCGGAATAATGGCTAAGCTGTGCATAGCCCTTATAACTAGTTTTGTTATGTCATGATTCCATGGACAGAAATGAGATTGTAAAATGTGGAGTTCTCCCCCCCCCCTTTCTGGAAATTGAGTCTATGACGTAGGCATAAATGTCCTCCAGTGCTTTAACCTTCCACCCAATCCTATTCTTCATTATCTGTTTTCTTTAGAGAGCTTTCATGAATATTAAGTTTAACTTAACCAGCAAAACAGAACGAGGAAGGAATATTAGATATGTTAGCCACCTTGAATTGTCTATAAATATAATAAAGGCGGGATATAAAATAATTACATTTCAAAGTATGTTTTTCGGGGGGGGGGGAGGGAGGACTTAAAAGTTGTATTCCTGGTTTGTACTTACCTTGTTGCCCATCTGGCATGGTCACTATAATGGGTTGACCCATTCCACTGGTGGGAATGGAATGAAGATTTCCCAGCTGTATCCCGTCTGTTACTATGGTGATAACCTGCTGACCTCCAGAACTAACTACTTGTTGAATTGCACCATCCACAGATTCGGCGGTCACCACTTCTTCTGTAGCCACAACTTTCAAACAAACGAATAAATGAAACATACATAAGCAAGCACTAGGACCTCATGAAAATGTGGCAGTATGGACTATTCTTGTTCACTATTCCAATGGAGTCAGCATAGGTATCTTTCATAAGATACTCCATTCTATTCCATTTTCCCCCATCAGCACATAGAAAACCAGTCCATCTTTTATGCAACCGAGCCTACTCAACCCCACCACGTTTNGCTGCATTCTGGACAAGCTGAAGTCTCCGAATGCTCTTCAAGGGCTGCCCCATGTAGAGCACGTTGATAATATGGTAAGCGAAGGGTGAAAGTCCCAAAGGTACTTTCTTTCAAAAGACGACTGGACTTTCTTGTTCTACTTGAAGACATTTGGCTTCTTATCCAAGAAGTTTCTTCAGTTATGACGGAATGGTGGAGAGTGGAAGGATTTGTATTCCTTGCAGTCACCTGGTGGTTAGTGCGCTTTCTGAGAGCCATTGAAGCCACTTGGAGGTTTATCTGTGCCAGGAGTCAGCAATGGATGTTGTATTAATTTTTAACATTGTATTTTTTAAAATATTTTAAATGTTTCTACTTTGCTGTGAGCCGCCCAGAGTCCCCAGGGAGTGAGCGGCATACAAATCTTATTAAAGTTCAAAGTTCTGGAGCTGCATGTGGCTCTTACAATATAGTATCAGATATCTTATGTACATCAGTATAAAGTCGTGAGCAGATAAATAATGAATATGATTGTAAATTCTACTTGTTATTGCACAAGATATTTGTACCCAGATGACACAGTTTAATGGAAGATGGATTGTTTGTATTAAAAAAATTATTTTTTTTAAAGCTCCTTGAAATGTGGTTTTGTTTCGCTTTTAGATTGAAGTCATTAAAAAAAAATCAATATGCTTTTAATCAATATGCTTTGTAACACATGCCCATGGACACACGCAAAACTTGTGGGAAGCTTTCAAGAAGAGATTGGGCTGCTATCTGTCAGAAATGATGCAGGGTCTCCTGCTTGGGGGTGGGGTGGGTCAGACTAGATGACCTATAAGGTCCCTTCCAACTCTGTCAATCTGTATCTAAACCAGGTGGAAAATTCCAGGGAAAAAGACAGAGTCCCACTTGCATAGAGTGACCCAATGTATGTTGACTTATGCATGGATAAGCTTAATTTAAGGCGAGGGCTTGTTTTGTGACTGTGTGTAATCTTAATTTAGGGTGGCAGACTGATCTCACATATCACATTAAGATTAGTTCATAAGCCACAACTGGCTGAATCCAGACAACACTAGGGCTACCGTTTCCCTGGAAATAAGACCTCTCCGGATAATAAGCCCAATGAGGCTTTTGAGCGCATGCACTCAAATAAACCTTCCTCTGAAAATAAGCCCTCCCTGAAAATATTGCAACACAGCAGCAAGGCCAAACGCTTATTTTGGGGGTCAAAAGAAAATAAGACCCTGTCTTATTTTCAGGGAAATACGGTAACTAAGGTTGCTGGCCTACAAAATCCTTATTCAGTTAGTGCTTTTAGCAGACAGAGGACTGGACTTGTTGACTTTGGCAGTTATGGCAGTTAGACTTATATACCGCTTCATAGGGCTTTCAGCNACGAACCAACACATCGCCCCCACCCTGCCGATCCGCAAAGCCGGAAACATTGGGGAACTCTGGGCCTAGAGATTAAGCTACAAGAGTCTGGAAAAGCCTAACAAATAGTGAGTTTTGAGTTACCTGTAGAATTTCTGCCAAGTCTTCAAATCCATTGTCTATGGCAATGTCTAGTGCAGTCTTGCAAAATTTACTTTGGGTATGGACATCTGCTCCGTACTTTATTAAGAGTTCCACAACTTCCTGATGATTGTGCTCCGTGGCCCAATGCAAAGCAGTCATTTTCAGCATGTCCTTTGCATTTACATCTGCACCATGCTACAAAACATATTCCATTAAATTTCTTTCAAAATGGAAAGAGGCAGTCAAATTTTAGAGTAAGCATTACTTCAAGTTAATATACTGCAGATAATTAATGTAACTAATTAATCAATCCATTGTTGCCTAGAATTGTTGGGCAGACGCATTGTCAAAACGGCTCATCTTAGAAAGTAAATGGCAGAAGATAAAATCTGGTGTGCGATGACTTGTGTGCCTCTCAGCATGGCTTCAGTCATTTTTTCCCTTCAAAAATAAATCTCTTCATCTAAAAATAATGCTGATAAGACGTCATGTGCTATTATTAGTCTGATAACATAAAGGAAAGTCTATAATTTCCAGTGCAAGTAATTTTTAAAAAGAATTTTGGACTGCTGCTGTAGAATTTTCAGAGCGCGAAATACAAGGAAGGCCTTGAAGCAGGAATATTGGTGGGCAGTTTCGTGACGAATTATTTTGGTTAGAAATGGCAATTGTAAAACCATTAACTTAGGGAAATTTCTTAGATAATATTCTTTATCTTTTTTCCCCCTTGCTATGGAAAAATTATTTGAACATACTGCCAAATTTTAATGAACGTATCATCAATCATAGCTTTTAATATAGTAGTGTTTTAATAGGCCATACAGGATTTAAATCATATTGTTCCTATGGCCTGATTTTAGGTGGCCTACCTACAAATGGTAACCACTTTGTACATGCACAAAATGGTGCTATTGATTCTCCTACATCCTTCATTTGTAGAGAAGGTCTGGAGCAAGTCCAGTAAATTTCAATGTGCATTGATTGTTTTTTTTAAAAATCTTCCCATGTGCTTTTTTGGTGCCTGGAAATGTTCTGAAAAACTCCTCTAGATACTGCAGAAAAAAAGAGTCTTCAGTCTATTAGCAATTACAGTGGTACCTTGGTACTCAATTTCTTTGAAACTCATCAAATTTGATACTCAACACATTTTGACATAAAAATGTTGCCCTGGTATTCAATGCCCAAACTAGAACCTGTCGGTGTCAGCTGCCTTGTGATTCACTACATTATTCTTTATGGGAAAAATTTGTTTGGTACTCATTGTGCCTTCCAGAACCAATTAACAATGAGTATTGGATACCAATGTATGTCCTATTTCAACTCTGGTATAGGTAATAATAAATGGAGAGCTTTTTCTTTTTACCTTAAGCAAAACTTCTACAATGCTTGCATGGCCTTCTGAAGCTGCCATGTGAAGTGGTGTCCGATCCACTTTGGTCCTTGCATCTCGACTTACTCCTGCTCGTAGTAACACTTCTGTAGTTGAATAGTGGCCATACTGTGCTGCTAGATGAAGTGGAGATGTTCCCAGCTGCAGCGGGAGATGTAAAATAGGATATTGGCACATAATTACCCTCTTATTTAACAACACTAAAAATATCACATTCATTTTTGGGTACCATTATTATTATTATTATTTTTAAAAATGGAAATTCTGACGTATTGGGCTGTTTTTAATCTTTATTATTTTCCTAACTTTTTGCTTTGAAGTAACTAATCTTTGCTCTCCATAATCCTATAATCCTTTCCTATAATCTTTCCTTTCATCCTAAATTAGAAAGGAACCGCTAACTCTTCTTTACAATAGTGTTTTGCCCAATCTCACAAATATCCAGTTCTAAAGGAAAGTTGCATTTTCTTTTAATTAAACACAGTATTGCTGTCATCAGGCAAGCAATACAATCATCATGATTTCAGAGTTAAAATCTCACAGTGATGATAATGACCTGACATTCTAGCCCAGCAATTTTTTTGTGCTCATCAAAACCAGAAGGCAACATTTTGAAAAATTGTGATGAGCTGCTGCATCCTACATATTGTTCTTTGGGGGGGAGGGGGTTCCTATTGGATTTGATCCCCCCAAATAGGAAATAGAAGCAGAAAAAGTACCGATTGAGTACTTATGAGTAGCTATCCCCACTCCCAAAAGGCTGGACACTGAAATCTCAGTTCTAAACCAAGGTTTGAGGTTTGGAAAGAATATGCCAGAAGTTCCTACTTAATGCTAAGCTTTTTCTTAGTAACTAAATAATGAGGGTAATTGGATAGTATGTTCCAGCAACTTTGTTCATGAACAGTAAATCTGCCTTCTTGTCACAGTCCATGACCAATATTTATATACATGGCCAATCTAAGAAAAAAAAACAATCAACTGAAAAGTGGAATGTCATCAATTTTTTAACACCGAATAAATCTATTGGGCACCAACTTCATCTGGATGAACAATTAATGAAGGCAAGCAGTACTTATTTGACCCAAGATAATCTGGCTGCATTTGTATCTCCATGATCATGTTATTCAAAAAGATGAAAATTCCCTTGAATCACACATGCCTCCTAAGGAGAACATGCTTATGTCTGTGTTGTTTCCTTGCCAGCAATATTAAAAGCTCCAACAAAATGAACACAGCAAACACAAACCACCAAACATGTGGTTTTGTTTTTGTTCTTTAATGGTGTTTTTACCCAATCTGTAGTAAAAGGTGCTCCATTGGCCATCAAAACGCGAACTTCATCATCTTGGCCGGCTCGAGCAGCTTCTAAAAGCTTCTTTCCCAAATCTACCAAGGACATCTAAAAAATATTTGACATTTAAAACAATTGTTAAATGTAGATAATTTATGAAAGAAGCAAATACTACCATCCTTCTAGAACATACCATAGCCAGAGTGTGCAGCAATCTTGCCCATAGAGGTCCTATAAAACTAATAACTTGGAAACATTTTCTCTAGTTTTGCTTGTTTTAAAACTTTTCATGCCGACTCCCTAATTTATATTGACCTGACAATTTACTGGGATGTGCAGCTCTTGCTAAGAGACAGATAAGTGGATAGTTTTGTGGTGCAACAACACAACACTAATGAAGACCAGCACCTTAATCATTGTACCTACAGCGTCTTCACTATTGGAACTCTTTTGCCCTAAAGGAGAATGATTGCTGACTGTTTTTGTTCACTGTTTTAGGCTTCTAGCCTCATAGTCAACCATTGCACCAAACTGGCTCTCTATTTAATTATTTAAATCTCTTAATTTTTAGAAATGTTATCTTTGTGACATTTAAGATATTTATGCATGTAATCCTTCATCGTATGTGATTATAAAATAGATTGAATCCATTTGAATGGAAATTGCATTTTGTAGAGCTTTCTTTCTGTTCTTGTCGCCTCTTTGCCCAGCAAAGCCAGGACAAAATTTCTGCATGACCAATGGAATGTTGAGTTGCCATCTACTCAACGAGAAATTGACTTTCTGAGAGCAAAATCACTTAAACTGTTCCATGTGTGCACTTCCAGCAACAAGTACTATTTACAAGAACACATGGAGAAAATGCAAAACTAGCTTGTTAGGATTCCAATGTAAATGTATTTAGGACTAAGCCGCACTAAACTTAGGCTTCAGCCACATAAGTGCTGTGAAAATTTGCATTCCTAAGTCTAAAATACTATAGTGAACACAGAAAAGTGCCACACTTCAATATCAAAACATTATTACTAAATTCTGCTAAACACCTACAGATCACTGGCAATACTCAAATCTCATTTTTTCCCCACACAGATCCAAACTCTCAAAGCTTTTATCAAGCTACAGTGAAGCTCTGGATGAAAATTTTAGTGGCCTAAGCATTTAGAAATTCCAATTGTTTCTGCTCAGATTCAGAGCTCTAGAATGTTCTTGAATACTGTAATTGTTGTTGTTAATACACATATACCTCTACCTTCAGAGGCCTTCTGCTCTAGTTCAAATCCAGCAACCATTGTGCTTCATTTTGCAAATTCATAGCTAGATAATAGCATATCTGGAAAGGAGCAACATGTAACAATGGGGAATACTGTCATTCGTTTGAGTTGATTGCTTATTAGTAACCTTTGTGTGTTCAATCACACTTGCCCAATAAACTATTCTATTCTATTCTATTCCATTCCATTCCATTCCATCCCACCCTACCCTATCCATATTGCCCTTGACAGCTTTCAAGAATCCAAAATATTTTTATTTGCGCTGGTTCGTAATACGTCAAGTACCAGTTGTAAAATCTTGGGAATACCGGCATGCTTATTTACGTGAAGAAATTCCCAAATGTTTATTAGGGCCATTTGAATATTCATCTCTCTTCCTCCAAAGGAATGCCAAATTCCAAAGCGCAAACAGAAAATAAAATATTTAATATGCTTCAAAATCCTCTTTGGCCCTAGTTCCTCTTCCTAAAATGATTAATAGCTAATTTTCTCATTTATTAAAATTAGGTTTTCTTGAAGGCTATAAAAAGTAACGGGAGAAGGCATTTAGCGGAATTACTTTGCCAAATTGTTACAGCAATGCAGTATTGACACCATAGCAACCAATTGTAAAGATTTTTTTCTGGTGATAGTTGCTTAATTTAGAATGTATTTATATATCTTTTGTTTATTTATTAACTTGTTTTATTTTGTAGCCCTTTCTGGTGTTTGAGAGAATCTTGGAAGAATATGAACAGAAATGGGAACTACAACTAATATTCGCCACTAGTTGGCAGTTATTGTACATGGCAGATGTTAAACAAGGATCATACCTGTATCTCATTATCTCAATTCTGGAATTCATGAAACCATTTATTCTTGATACTGTACTTGAAACATGTCAGAAATCAGTATAGAACAGGTGTGCTGTTTATTGTTTTGTGTCTCAGCAGTGCATCTTAAATGTAAGTTAGTAACTTTTAAAAATGAGCCAACAATGAACTACTTACTATCCAAATCTTAACTATTTGCAAGTCTACTTTTCTACTCGGGAACCATAAAGGAAGACTTTTAGGTTTTTTTGTTAAATCCAAATTGGCTGCTTCTTCCAAATCAAGGCTCATAATCAAGCATTATTTGAAAGTAATTTCATAAGTGGCTGTAGATCTAACATTAATTCACTAGTGTTCATGAATTATGGCTTGCTCAGATCTTCATGGTTTTGAAAGAGTTACCTGGGAATGAAGCCAATATTGACTATGGATTTGTCAACATAATTTTTAAACTTAATTGCTAAGCGATTTTGTAATATTAGTTTATTACAAATATAACTGATGTTATATTTTTTTGACACGCTGGAGAAAGTGGGGAGCAATGCAATTCCAAGGCCCTCCTAATGCAGGGATATGTAAAATGATGGTACAGGTGTATTACTGCATCTTCAATATTTGAATAGATATACTAGGATTTCTTCCTCTTAAACTACTTCATAATTGCAATGAGTTTTCCCATCCCATATTATATTGTTTTAAATACAACTTTATATAACACCTTCAGCTTTTTGCCTGGAGGCACTCAAATTAAAGTGTTAAAAGCGGTAAGTTTTTCATGTGGAAGGATTATGTACCACATTATATTTCAAATGTCTACCTTGTTTGGGTCTTGGAGTTCTAATAAAATGCAAAACCCTCCACTGATGTCTGCACGACCCCATGGCATGCTGTGTATTCTGGCAGACTTCACAAACGAAGCCAATTGACATCAGAGATGAATTGGCTCAACTCCCGTTTCAGGGGGGAAAATGCTGCAATTCTGCAGAATTTCCTCTGGAGCTGCAGAGCAGGAAGTTTTCCTTTGGTTGGACTCATCCCCTCTCCTGTCTCCTATGGTTACCCTGCACCTTTTGAAATGAAGGGTTGCCTGGCTGTCCTTTCCTGTTTGCTGGCTAGGATAAGGAGTGGTTTTGAATAACAGCCCATTAGTAAATGCAGGGGGGAAAAGAAGAAAAAGGAAAGGGCAGGGTGCCAGTTAAGGACCATCTCAAAAACGTTTATGACCAGCTGAAGGAAGTATTGGCCAGGTCAGGGAAGGGAAATCAACCAGACTAGCCAACCACAACCCAGTGGCATACTGCGCTCCCAAGTGGAAAGATGTGGGAGAAGGGCATTTTAGTAAATCAATACACACACTAAATGGATGGACAAGAATATATCATCACAAAATTGGTTACTTATGGGAAAAAATCTCATCAGAGCATTTTCAAATTGTACTTACTGATATTAATTACTCTTAAGCACTCTTAGTAATATATTTTCGCAGTAGTGTTATCAATCCAGAGCTGTTTGCTTGTTTACTTGTTAATGTTTGAATATGTTTGTCCAATATGTCTGCATTCATATTGAGCCAATTTTACTGACTTCAACTGGGTTTACTTTGAATAAATGTGGGCTAAATTTCAGTGGTTTAACAGCTTCTTGAAAGTGAATACATGAGATCAACTTTGAGTGAATCATGAATTAAGGGGGGAAAGTCTGAAGAAAGGTAATTGTATATATGTAGCTTCTTAGAAACAATTCAAAAAGCCGATCTCTATACATCAAAATTAAAATGTCTCTTACATTCAATTTGCTGACGGCTGAAAAACTAGTCTCAAATTTTTATCAGAGGAATAGCTTTATTGAAAACAATGAGGCTACAGGAAATGTCTAAGCAAGGAACTCATCAAAGGTCTCAGCTGTATACACAAGCCAATTTGATGCAATGATAATAAACTTAAATGGGACTTGCACAACCCTGAGTATCACATACCGTACAAATTTAGGAACTCCAGAAATGAGGGTCTCTATGCTGAATATGTAAAATAAATGGAACTGGCACTCTAATTCAAAAGCACACCATGGGGTGCATTTACCATTAAGTATGGGTTCCAAAAATAGATAGATCAGACACTTTAACTTCTAAATTATTTTCCTGGGGCTCCGAGCAGATCTAAAACAAATCTAAAGTTAAGTACAATAAAAGGCAAATGTGCTTAGCTGTGCAACATGATCCATAAACCAAGAAGCCAGGTTTCGATTCAACAGGCAAATAAAATCCCCTTTTAGGAAGGAAAGAGAACAGATCTCTTAATTACAGGGAGAAGAAGAGATCCTGGATAAGGAAACTCTGAGTTAGAGGCGGGTGACAAGAGGGGAAGATAGGAAGGACTGTATTTATAGAGCAGCCAAAACAGGTATCTGGTGGGAATCTGTTCCTTGGGCTTCCTGGAATGGGAGGATTTCAGACAGCCCAAGAGGCCAGAGGTTCTTGCAGCTCGTACTAATAACCAAGTTTGGAAGCAGCCAGCATTCCTCCCTCCCTAAGAGGGAAGAGGCAAGCAGAGGCCATCAAGACGTTGCTCAACCCCCATCATAGGAGACCCAATCCCGGGCTTGTTCCTGGCAAAGCAGCCCCATTCCACACAAACCCCCTTCCTCCCAGTTTTTTCCTCCGAATGTCACCCCCCTCCCCTCCGAATGCCATCACTCTGCTGAACAACTAATTCCCACAACACTGACAAATAATTTATTAAGACTGTCTTACTATTATTCTTCTCTTCCTTCCTACTATCTATCTCTTCCAACTTATGACTATAACCATGTTGTTGTTTGTATCTTTCAATTTATATTGTTTTTAATTGTTTCCTAATACCATTTGATAGTCACAGTCAAGATTACTAATAAGCTAAGTGCTGTATCTTTTATTTATGAATGTATTTTATTCTCCTTATGTACACTGAGAGCATCTGCACTAAAGACAAATTCCTTGTGTGTCCAATCACACTTGGCCAATAAAGAATTCAATTCTATGCAATGCTATGCTATTCTTCCATGCTAGGCTAGGCTATGCTATGCCTATTTCTATTTCTATTACCAAGTTTGGAAGCAGCCAGCATTCCTCCCTCCCTCCCTAAGAGGGAAGAAAGAGGCAAGCAGAGGCCATCAAGACGTTGCTCAACCCCCATCATAGGAGACCCAATCCCGGGCTTGTTCTTGGCAAAGGCAGCAGCAGCCCCATCCCACCCAAACCCCCTTCCTCGTACCCGCCCCCATCGCTTAAACCCACCCCCCGATTTAAAACTTTGGAAGAGACGATCCACTCCCTCCCTGCCACCCAAGAGGGGGGAAAGGGGGGGGAGAGAAAAGAGGCGCCCGGGAGCGCAGGGTTGGCGGGCGGCGCGTGTTGTAGGAGGGGGAGGGGGGAAAGAAAGAGACACGGGCCCGACACGCGTCGGAGGGAGGGCACGTGTGAACGCCTGTGTGTGGGGGTGGAGGGGGAAACCAGGACGGGGGTCGCCAGCCCCTCCCCCCTCCTCCTCGACACCCCTCCCTTCCTCAGCTCCTTCCCGCCCGGAGAAGCGGCCTACCCGGCCTGGTGCCCCCTCCTCCCCCACCCCCACTCCCGCCTGTGCTTCTCCAAGCGGCGGCCCCCGAGCGCCCGATCCCCGGAAGGCCTCTCCCGTCCCCGCTTTTTCCCCCCCGACAGGAAATCCTGGCTGGGAAGGAGCGGAGGGAGCCGCGGTAAGCGCCGGGTTCCGGGGGAAGTGGAATTATTTTTTACCAGCGAAGAAGCGACCAACTTCCACATCCGGTAACACGGGCCCCCTCTAGACAAAAAAGGCGCAGACTGACCTGGAAAAGCTTGGCCGGCCCGGCCATCGGAGGTGAGGCTGAGGGGGGTGGGGGCGCGTGTGGAGGAAAAGGGAGAAGGGAAGAGGGAAGGGGCCTCCCCTTACCGTGTCGCCCGCGCCCGGCCGCCGCCCGACCGAACGACGAGCAGGGCCGCCCGGAGCCCGCCGCCGCTTCTCATAGGGCGCCCGAAAAGCCCCGCGAAAAAGTCCCCCGCTCGCGCGCGGCGGAGGGACACGGGCGGCCGCGCTCGCGAGCGCTGAGGCGAGGAAGGAAGGGAGGAGGAGGAGAGGCCCGCAGGGGAAGAGCGCCAGTGAGGGGAGGAGGAGCAGCAGCGGCAGCAACGAGCCGCCGCTCCGCCGCGGTCCTCTCGGGGCGCTGCTCCCCTCATGGGGACGCGGGGGGTTTATCGGATCGTAGTCAGCCCCCTTTCCCTCAACGGGCGCTGATAGTGGAAAAAAAAACGGGGTTGTGTGTGGGGAGGGGGGGGAAGGAAGAAGACTCGGCGGAGGGATACGGCTACCTGAGAGTCCGATTGCGCAGGCGCGGGTCCCGGGAGAAAGGGAAGAGCCGAGGCGAAAGAGGGAGACGCCATGTTCTGCCGACGCTTTTTTTTCTCCCCCCCCCCTTCCCTTTTCCCGCTCGAAAGGTGGAGGGGAACCGCCGGCGCGCCTGCGCGTTGCGGGGCGCGCGAGAGTCTGAAGTTGTTCTGTGAGGCGCTGCTGCTTCCTCACTTGGGAGCGCAAAGTGTGACGCACATTAACACACGTACACATACCACACACACCTCTCCACCAGTCCAGTGGGGAGAATGAAGGGGTGAAATGCAGGATTTAAATCTTGCAACGGCCCTTCAAACTCCCGAACACACACACACACACACACCGAATTAGCCTTGCCTTTGACATTTCTTTTATTTTTAATTTCCAGACTACCAAAAAAAAAACAACCCAAAGCCTGACTCAAATTACCCTTAATTAATTAATCCTTAAATTGCAGGAGCTTTTTTTTACTTTCCGTGGTATCTCCATTATTTTGGGCTGGTGCTTCCAAATGAGCGTAATGCATCTTTTTTTTTTTTAAGGGATTCTTTTTTTTATTATTATTTCAATTTAAAACAAGTACAATATCTTTCTTTACATGTTATAGAAAATGTATCAGTCAGTCACAAATAAACTTTCGTACATCTCCACAGTCAACAAACATAATTCATATTAACTCAAGTATTTTAACTCAGATATTCATACATATCACCATTGTCATATATCCATTTTCATTTGACTGTAATTATTATTTGAAAATATTGATGATGATAATAATAATCTTAAACAATACATGCCCACACCAGTGGGAAAAGAAAAAATCAAAACAATGCATCTTGATTGTGCAAAAAAATCAGAAATTGGAGCTAGGAAAGTGAATATACAGGTAGTCTTCAACTTATGACCAGATTTGTATTAAGCCATGAGCAGAGAAATAATGAATATGGCTGTAAATTGTAATTGTTATTGCGCAAGGCATTTGTACCCAGATGACATACTGTTTAATGCAGGGGGGCCCAAATTTGGGAACTTCAAGACTTGTGGACTTCAACTCCCAGAATTCCCCAGCCTGCAGAATTCTGGGAGTTGAAGTCCACAAGTCTTAAAGTTCCCAAGTTTGGACACCCCTGGTTTAATGGAAGATGGATTGTTTGTATTAAAAAAAAATTAAAAAAAACAAAACCTTATGACCAGAACCGAGCCCAAAATTAATGTTGCTGAGTTGAGAAATTGGTTAAGCGAGTTTCACCCCATTTTACGATTTTTCTTGCCAGGGTTATTGAAGTGAATCACTGCAGTGGTTAAATTATTAGTAACACGGTTCTTAAGTGAATCTAGCTGCCCCCATTGACTTTGCTTGTCAGACAAAGGGGGATCACGTAACCCCCGGGACCTTGCAACCTTCATAAATGTGTCTCAGTTGTCAAGCATCTGAATGTAAATCACATGACCATGGGGATGGTCTTAAGTGTGAAAAATAGTCATCAGTCACTTTTTCAGTGCTGTTGTAATTTTGGAGGGTCACTAAGCGAACTGTCGTAAGTCGAGGACTGCCTATACAGAGGTGTCCAGTCTTCTGGAGCTCTGCTTTATGTCCCTAACGAGGTCCCTGATATTATAGCTGGCCCGATGTTTAGACTAGATTTGATTTTTTTTGTCCACATGTCAACTCTTTCCAAAGAATCCAGATGTGTATTATTAAACATTGTGCGATGTAAACTATTCCAAGTAAAACTGCCTTTTGCAATTGGTTGCATATTTATTTGCCATTTTTTTGTCCACATGTCGAGTCTTTCCCAAGAACCCAGATGTGTTTTGTTTTTAATATTAAACATTGCAGGATGTAAAATATTCCAAGTAAAGCTGCCTTTTGCAATTGGCCAATGGTGATTTTGTCAATGCAGTTGGTATTCAAGTGGTTTTGAAATTGCAACCAAGGCTCCTATTACTCTTGGTACTGCCTTCTTTTGCAGGCCTTTATATTTACTGATCTTTGATTTTCTCCAGTTCTTCTGTTTCGGCTATATTGCAATGTCCACTGTCCAGAGATTTTGGCAGATATTTGTCTGCTTGAACTACAAAGCCTCAGCAGTTTAGCTTCCATTTTCTAGTCACCAGGAGCCAATGCTGACTTGAAAGCACAAAATTATTACCACTATTATAACTATATCATAATGTGCATTGTTACATATAAGCTAGGAAATTGTTCCATATTTATCAGATTCTATGCTAATTAGTCTTTGTTTTTTGTTTCAGGCAACTTACTACTTGAGACAAATCTGAAACAATTTGAAGATGAAAAGGTGTTCATCTCTTTACACAAGAGGATCTTGTATTTACCAATAGATCATTTTGGATAAATTCCAAAGGCCATCCAATTAGACAACAGAACAATGACTAATTTACCATGAAGATCCTCAAGTAAGAAAACATATCCCATTACTTGATGTAGGAAAACAACCTAGAGTTGACATAATGGATTATTTACAGGCTTTCTGGGATTTGCAATGTAAGCTGAACTTCATTTAAGTCCTATCAGTAGATAAAGATATTCTGGTTCAACAACATATGAAACAGTATACTGTGTTGTGTCTTTATTAAACACAATATTCAGTCTTTATTGGCAGAGGTATGTGAAGCATGAATAAGTTAAATTACATGTTCTAATCATGCTTCCTCACAACAACTGATAGTTTTATACTGTATTGCGTGAATTGTTCGGTTCAAGTCATGCCATATTTGGGGTGGGTTAAAATCAAGTAATACCACAACCGTTCAAAAATTGGTATTTCTTTTTCTGGTTTCAGCTATCTATTGTAAATTTAGGAATTTTGTGCTACATGACCCATGTTCATTTTAATATTCATTGTCCAGACAGATATTGTAAAATTCAGTACAAATTCCTAATATGTTCCAGAATCTATTGTGAATATAGCACAGTATATTGTTTTGTGTGTTATTTGTGTAACCAAAATATTTTTGATAACAGAGATAAAAGAAGGGAGAAATGAAATTTATGAATTTTCAGTGATGAGAAAATCTGAAACGCAAGCAAAAGCTGTACAGATGAGAATTACTAAAACTATATACTAATGTGTTAAACATTAGTATATAGTTGAAGAGTTGAAGAATTCAATTTCCATTTGGGACATTGTTGCGTCCCATTAGTGGCTATACTTCTATAATAAATTTGCAAGTTTTAACAAAAAAAAGGGTGAGATAAATAATAAAAACTTTTAAGAAGACATTTTTATAGGAAGTTTGAATTTATTAAATCTGATTTCTGAAAAGTTGATTGTTAAGGCTGATGCATTTGGATGGAAGATAGTGTGTGTAAATGTTGCAATATGAAAAAATAATTTGGACTCAAAACAGTTAGATTAGCAAGCTGAAAGTCAGACTTCTGGGACTGATTGGCAGCTACTGTTATTTTGAGCTCCTAGGGAAAAGATGAAATGTAAGTGCTACTAGTAATTATAATAAATATGATGTACAGTGTGTATACCACTGCAGAATAACCTTGAATAATAAGCCTTTCCAGCCTTAGAATCTACTATCCGTTGTTTTATTTTCTGTCTTTAATAAAACCATATTCTCAAATGTTTACAGATCTGAATGAAACTGATTTTTAAATCACTTGCCTTCTCTAATTATTACATTCCACTTATTTATTTATCTAGAATACACTCAAGACATTTGTTTTTTTCCTAATTTGTGATAAGTGTGTAAAATCTAGTTTTGCCCCCTTGTTCTGTATTGCGCAGCAGGGGGTCAGTTATATTAGTAGCATTGAATAGATTCACATAGCAAAAATACAATGGGCTGGTTTATGATTTAATATATTGCCTTAATCCAGGCATTTAGATTCATTTAGAAAAACTAATTCAATAAGTCATGGATAGCATGTATAAATATAGTAATATTTTATTGCGGATTTTATGTCATTTGAGTATAATTGCTTATAGCAAGCAAGATTAGTTACATTCTGTAGTAAAGAATTACAGAATTCTTGGAAGGAGTACTATATCTCACAAACTGTAGAATAAATGTGAAAATTAGGGGATATTAATTTCTTATGTTAAAATACTATTAACAAAGTCTCGACCACTGATTTACTAATATTTAAAGTAATCATAAAGGCCTTCTCTCTTCCAGAACCCAATTTCTAATACTGCCCTATTGTGTTTATCGGGAGTTAGATTTATAGTTTTTACTTGCATAGCCTTGTATTGAAGAAACAAAAAAATTGACAAGGGTATCCAGTCTTCCATTGTACCGCTCTTCATATGACAAGCAAAATAGACGAACATCCAGTTTAAATTCCATTACACTCCCTAAGTGATCTAGTCTTCTAAGTGTCCTCATTGATTTTGCAATTGAAGGCTATTGTGTATGTGTACAATCAATTTGACATTCCAAAGAGTCTCCTTTGATATGTATAATGACCAGCATATTCATATTTGGCACTTTTGAGACCGCTCATTTCATTATTTACCTGTTATTTTTAAACTGCCCTTCCAAGGTAATTCATAATGCATTAAAGCACAAAGCACCTCCATATAGGTACTGTAATTACATAAATGACTACAGTTGTGAAGTACCAGATCCATCTAGTGTTCCAAGTCATATTAGCCTCTCATACAAGCACATGCAGATGTTCTGATCCAGTGTGGGAAACTATTTTGGCCAACAGGTAAAACTGCGGTTTCAAACACAGAATTGATTACCCCTCCCTTACCCATTGGAGGTTGCAGAAAAGTCTTAAGAGCCACACCTTTATTACATTCTCTAGCACAGCAGTCACCAACTGATGGTCCGTGGTCCCGCAAAAAAGTTATTTGTATTTTTTATATGGCACTAAATTGAGTCCTCAAACTACGCCCCCTGGACCGGATATATGCAATGAACGCTTGTGTTGCTGCAGAGAGTCTCCCACTTCGGGGTCTTTTTGTGTGGGTCAGAGGGAGCAGAAATTCCGACTTGGGGGTCTGCTTCAGCCTCCTGGTGAGGGGCTTTAGGTGAAGGATGGTTCCAGTGGGACTGCATCATGGCCTGGAACTGGTTGACCATCTCAGCCTGCTGAGCCTCCAGGCGCCGGTACCTGGCCTTGCATTCCCACAGGTCTTCCTTCTGCTCATAGTCCTCAGTGAGATGCTTCCGCTGAGCCTCCATCTCAGTCAGATCCAATTTGAACCGCTGGCTCCATCCAATTTGAATGGAGCCAGCAGTTTTGCCAACTCTTTCTCATGGTGGCTGTTTAGCTCTAACAACTGCTTTCTGTCGGGGCCCTAAGGAGTCTGGGTGATAGGGGAGGATGGAGGGAAGGAGCGAGTAGAGGCCGGCGAGGCGCCCCTCGATGTGAGCGATGGCAATTTGGCCACACCCACCCAGTCACATGACCACCTAGCCACGCCCACCCAACCGGACATTAGGCAGATCATATTAGTGGTCCGCGGGATTTAAAATTATAAATTTAGTGGTCCCTGAGGTCCGAAAGATTGGGGACCCCTGCTCTAGCAAACCCCCAGGTAGAGAGAAGTAGAATGGCTTAAGTTGCAGCAACCAAAAAACTTTTGGTAAAAAATAACACCGAACTAATAAAAGTGAGCTGCACAAAACAGAAAATTAGAACATGCAATAAAATGCAAAGCATTATTCTTTTGGAATAAATCATTCGAAAGCTGGTTTACACCCAGTTGGGCTATACATATTTCCTGACAGGAATGTCGTAGTCTAGAGATCTCATTGCCTCCTATTACATAATGATGCAAGTTCCAACTTTGGCATAAAACAAAGACACTTAAGTCTCCACTTAACTGATTCCGTATCTGATAGGATAATTGTCCATCATTCTCAATCATCCAGGTCATGGTTGTCCCATAGGTGCTTTTTTTTTCTTTTTCAAAAGGCAACTGGATGTTCTCATTTTCTTTTTTTTGCTAAGGACTAGGCTGACTGCAAGGAATATAAATCTTTCCATTCCCCACCCATTAGTTTGAAAGCCCGAAAAAAAAATGCAAGCAGAAAAATAGGGAACACCTTTGGTGGGAAGGTAACAGCATTCTGTACATCTTCACCATTGAGTCATGCCGGCCACATGATCACAGAGACATCTTCAGACAGCGCTGAAACAGAGATGAGCACCGCCCCCTAGAGTCGGGAAGGACTAGCACAGATGTGTCAGGGGAACCTTTATGCTAACAAGTTTCTTGGTTGAAAAGGGAAACATTTTCAAAGTAAAACAAGTAAACAAAACAGCCCAATTGCCTTTTGGTGGGGCGGGAGAAGCACCTTTGGGATAGTTGGATGACTTGGTGGTCTTTCCTTTTTACCTTCCACCAAAAGTAGTTCTGAGGCCCCTCCGGCCTGCCTTGAATTTCTAAAACCAAGTAGGATCCCAAACACCCAAGATTGCTAGTCGCCATCCAAAAAAAAACCGCCTGGCACCCAACCTCAGCAGCTACACCCCAAGCCAACATTTGGAGGCGAGGGCAGGAAAAGCAGGACACTCCAAGCAAGCGGCTGCAAAAACCCAACCTAGAAGGCGGCGATGCCAAGCAAGAGGCCTGGGGGGGTGTCTCCCAGGAGTAAGGGGGTGGGGGTCTCCAAGGGGCGGCTGACACTCCGTACCCGAAAGAGGCCGCCTCCGCCTCTCACCGCCGAGCCTCTCCGGATGCGTCTTGGCGCACCAGCCAAGCAGGGCGCCCTTCTCCCTTGAAAACAACCCAGAGGAGGGCGGCGTTGGGGCGGGAAGGAAGCGCCCGGCAGGCATCCTCTTGCCCGGCCCGGCCCCTTTCCGTGGAAGGCCGGCCCGAACGGCGCAGGGGAGGCGATTATCCCCGCCCCGGGCCGCCTCTCTCCGCCTCGGCTCAGTTCCGCCTGCCCGGCTATGGCTGCCTAGAGCGTCGGCTGCTCGGCGCTGGGACATGGGCCAGGCCCGGCTGGGAAGGAGAAGGAGGAGGAGGTGGCGACGACGGCTGTGAAGCGGTGAGCGGCGAGGGTCGGCCATCGGCGGCTTCGGGGCTCAGCGCAGGGCCCGGCTTGGGGGGCGGGCGCCGAAGGGTCTCCGGGGCCGGAGTGGCGGCTGAGGCCGAAAGGAGCGGCGGCGGATCTGTCCCCCTTCTCCTCCGCCCCCACGGGTGACCTTGATGAGTCATGGGTGGCGCATTCACACGTTACGGAACTAGGAGTTTTGGGGAGTGTAGGGGGAGTCACCCTCCGGCCTTGACAACCCTAAGTTTGAAGCTCCCGCCGGGCAGTTATCCCCCCCTCCCGGTCTGTAGTGGAAGGAGGGTCTCTGCCGCTTTACGCGTGTATAGACTAGCGAGGGGCTGGGTTCACACGATGGGTTGGACCCGGGGGAAGATCGAAGGGTTGTGCGCGCAGGGAGACTCGTCTCGCCATCCTTTTTCAGGACTTTTGGGGGTGGTGTGTGAATGCCGTCCACGTGGCTAGATCGCCCTGGGTCGAGTTGGACCGTAGTTTGCGCAGAACCCACTGAACCCAAAA